TTTGCTCAAGGTTAGAAATTTATCACTTTGAGCCACAGATACTGTTCTGGCTTTTGAGTGGTTAATCAGAAATAAGAGTCTCTCAGGGACTTTTGCCTGGGCTGGTTTCCAAAACGGCAATCCTCACATCTCAGCCTCCTGAGTTGCTAGGATTACAGGCATGTGCTACGGGTGCCCGACTTCTTACTTTGAGATTATGAAGATATTCTCTTACGTTATTTTCCAGCAGCTTTATTGCTTTTCCTTCATCTTGAGGTCTATATGTCACGTGGGATCTATTGTTGCTTAGCATAAGTTAGGGTGGAATCCAATTGGACACGCTCAATTTGTTATCACTCAACTGTCCAAAAGATTTACTTTTCCATTCTATTGCACTGGTTTGTTTGACTAACTTTGTACCCATAACCTCACCGTTTTATTCTTCCCGTGCGCAGCGTGGATTAGAAGCCTTGGCCCCTCCCACCCTCACTCCCCTCCACGCCTGGATATGTTTAAGGCTGGGATGGTTCACACAGGCAGATCCATTCAAACCTTTGGGGAGGGGCGGGGTGGCGGGAAGAAGATCCTGTTTCCGTGGCAACCTCCCAAGAGGCGGAAACACAGAACCACAGTGCCAATCACCCCGTGGGGAGAAAACAAATGCGTCATTGAGCTCCCTCATCATTTACCTCCCTGGGAGAGACACTTCCCCAAACCCAGACACGAATCCAACTCTCCCAGCACGTAACTCCGCGCAAATCGTGCGCCCCTGGGCAGCACCCCAAACTCGGACCTCCGCAGTCCCCCAGAGACGAGCCTGACACTACTGGGGAACGCCTGAGAGATTCGTGTCCGAAACTGAGGCGAAACAACCCCTGAGTGGTGACAATAGCCCGCAGAGACCACCTTACGGGCCGGGGGGACAGCAGCTTGACCAAGGGACTGTCTGTGCAGCGGGGAGGGGAGGTGTTTTGTTGTTTAAATTCAGAGATCGGGACTGGAACTCGGTTTCTGACGCTTTCGCTCCTTGGCTGTCGCTCTACCACCTGAGTCACGCCTCCAACTACTAAGGGACTTTTCAACTGAAGATACCAACCCGCTCGCTGACCGAGCACGAGTCTACCAACACACTAACACGGGGTCTCCGACCCGCAAACACACCGTGACCGAACCCCAGCCGGGGTTATTGCTTGTGACCAATTGGAGGCTCGCAGGTGTCGTTTCCCCGCCCCTTGGCTCGGTCTGGTCACTTTATTCGCTGCTGCGCAGAGCAATCACGTAACACATTCCGAATAGGAGCCAATAGAATAAAGAATCCGGCAGCCTTCGGTAAGGAGTGGGCGGGCCTTCCTCAGCGCCCCGCCCGGAGCACCCGCCTCGGAATCCTTCGGGTTATTTCGGCTGCTTCCCCCGCAGGGTAAAGTCGCGCTTGGTCTCGCAGCAACACATTTCTTTTCCGCCCTATTCTAGCGCGTGCGCACTGCCGTCCCGTAGATGTCCCTGAAACGTGAGCTTGCTGAGGGAGGGGGAAGGGACCCTAAGCCGCGGTCGGTCTGGTCAATGGTAATCGGGCATAGCCTGAAATGGCAGTCGCCTCCGGTGCTTCCCCAAAACAGAATTGCAAGGCCAAAAAAACGTTCGTCGAGGTCCCACCGAGATTTGAACTCGGATCGCTGGATTCAAAGTCCAGAGTGCTAACCATTACACCATGGGACCTGCTGGCTGCTTTAGGCGACCGGGAGCCTTCTCAAGCCACATGGCGCGCTAAGCTCCACTTGGCGCACCGGGCAGCTTTGCAAAAGCTCGGGAGCATTCCCGGCTCGCCTGGCCGGCCGGGTCCCCGGCCGGAGGACCGCCGGGTGCGCGGAAGCCCCGCAGCAGACTCCCGCGTCCCTCGCAGTCGAGATCGTTCTTGGCCCCTTGGGTGTCGTCCCTTCCCGCTTCTCTTCCCGCGCGTCTCCAGGGGTCGATGCCCGGGCCCCAGGAGTCCGGAGGGTGCGGGGTTGGCGAGGCCGGCGGTGCGGAGCCGGGCAGGGGTGCGGGGGAAGCCCGCTGTCGCTCCGGCCTCGGGGCTGGAGGCTCGGCACACGCAGCCGGGGCTTCCTGCGTGTTTATTTATTTACATTGGCACGCCCTCTGTTCCGGGGGCGCCTTGGCTAAGTGGGGAGGGAAGCGGACCCGCACGTGCTGGGACGGAGGTTCAAGCCCCCGGCGTAATCGGGATGTGTAAACGGAGATTTGAGGCTGCGCCCCACCTGGAGGAGGTTTGTTAGATTGTTAAAAGTTAGACTTATTCACTTCCTTTGGAGCGGATGAAACTTGCCGGAACCCGGAATCCTTCCCAAGGACAGAGACAAATTTAAACGATCCAAACGAAGAGTTATACACCTGTGCAACAAACGCTGTGTGACACCATACTTTCCAGAAGGATCTGGCATTGCCTGGGTCTGGGTGACAACCAGCTGTGCTATCAAGTCCAGCACAGGCAGAATTCAAAGTACAAATAGAAGGACTAAAGAGGTAATTGCCTCAAGTCCTGGGTTCATTCCTAGATGTGTGTGGATCCCCTTTGTCCCATATGTCCATCTCTCCCTTGATCCTGTCTTGGTCAAAGTATAGAGGAGGAAGCTGACTGCGTTGTGGTGCTCGCCTGTAAACACAGGAGACCTTCTGGCTGAAAAGGCAATAGATAAAGAGGGATAAGCTGCCGTTTCAAACTGTGCCCAACAGCCAAAGTACCTCTTTCCCCTTTTATAAGGGACTCTTTCCCCTTTTATAAGGGACTCATCTAGTTAATTCTACAAAAGATGCCCCATCCTCTCCTCTTCCTCTTCATTTCCAACATGTTGTCTTTTTCCTAGTGAACAGATATGTTTGTGTGTGCATGCATGTATGTGTATGCTGGCACACCAGTCCTGGAGCTTGAACTCTGGGCCTGGGCACTGTCTGAGCTCTACTAATCTGAGCCACAGCTCCCTATCCTGCTTTTTGGTGATTAATTAGGGATAAGATTCTCATGGCCTTTCTTGTCCTGCCTGGCTGCTCCCCACCCCCCACTCCATGATCCTCAGATCTCAGCCTCCTGAGTAGCTAGGATTACAGGCACAAAGCACCAACATCCAGTTTCACCCAGCTTGTTTTATTTTTGTTGCTGAGATACAGTCTTACTATGTAACAGCACAATCTGTCCTGATACTCACCATCCATCCTCCTCCCTTAGCCTACTGAGGGCTGATATTACAGGTGTTCATCACAACACCTGGCTTTCATGATAACTTTCTTAATGAAGATATAGATTAACATTCAGATATATGTTTCTCATGATCAGTGCTGAGCAGTAACTACCTAAAGAATTAAGAAGTAGAAATGTGTTGAGTGCTGGTGACTCACACCTGTAATCCTAGCTACACAGGAGGCTGAGATCTGAGGATTGTATAGTTCAGAGACAGCTCAGGCAGGAAAATCCATGGAGACTCTTATCTCCAAGTAACCACCAGAAAATGGGAAGTAGAGCTGTGGCTCAAAATGGTAGAGCCCCAGCCTGAGTGGAAAAGCTCAGAAACAGTGCCCAGGCCCCACATTCAAACCCCATGACCAGGAAAAAAAAAAAAAAGTAAAATGTAACTATATTCAAAGTGTCCAGGGATTAATTAGAGCAATTATTTTTAGAAGTTATTTTTCTTGTAAAATATTGTAATTATATATTAAAATTAAAAGACAAGGGATGGGAAGGTGGCTCAAGTGGTAGAGCACTAGCCTTGAGCTGAAGAGGTGAGGGACAGCGCCCAGGCCCAGAGTTTAGGCCCCACAACCCACAAAAGAAATTAAATAAATAAAGGACAAAAATGATCATGAAAGGCTGGGAAGGTGGCTCAGTGGTAGAGCGCTTGCCTTGCATGCATGAGGCCCTGGGTTCGATTCCTTATCACCACATATGCAAAAAGAAAAAAGCCGGAAGTGGCGCTGTGGCACAAGTGGTAGAGCGCTAGCCTTGAGCTGAAGAGCTGAGGGACAGCGCCCAGGCCCAGAGATCAGGCCCCATGACCCGACCCCAAAAAAACAAAATGATCATGAACAAATACCACATTGTGAAGTCAACTTTTCAAAATATAAATGCAAAAATTATTTGAATAAAACACTGTAATCTACTTTTTTTGGGGGGGGGGTCCAGTCATGGGGCCTGAACTCTGGGCCTGGGCGCTATCCCTCAGCTCTTCAGCTCAAGGCTAGCGCTCTACCACTTGAGCCACAGCACCACTTCTGGCTTTTTTCTTTTTGCTTATGTGGTGCTGAGGAATCGAACCCAGGGCCTCATGCATGCAAGGCAAGCGCTGTACCACTGAGCCACCTTCCCAGCCCCTGTAATCTACTTTTTAAAACTTAAGTCAGAGGCAATTTTTACAAAAGACAATAACAGTCTTAGCAAAGTGAAAACACTATGAGGCACAATAAAAATTTTAAGTTTGTTTCAGAAAGGAGCAATTCCCATAATGTGGTGGGTGCGATTCTTTATAACATAAGAATTAACCAGAAACCACCCAAGTTAATTTCACTTTATGTTTGCAATGGAAGAAAAAGTATGGCTGTCTTTAAGGTCTTGTTTGTTTTATTTGCTGAGAAATATTTCAGGCTCAATGCATGTATCCATTTTAATTCTGTTTCAATAGCATACAACAGCTGACAATGATCAGACTAAAGAGCGGCTCCATGGTTCACTCACTCTGTGCTCAGGGCTCTTTCCTGCCAGTTGCCTTATCTGTGTTCATTTTATTAAGGAGTCAAGTTTTGGCAGGAAGATCACAAAAATCCATGCAGTCTGAAACAGGTACTTCTCAAGGCAAAGAACAACAATAACAAAACCATGAATAGGCTGGGCTACACTGGACCATTCCTATAATCTCATCTACTCAGGAGGCTGATCTGAAGATCACACAGTTCAAAGTCAGCCTAGGCAAAAAAGTTCATGGCACTTATCTCCAATTTACCAGTAAAAAGCCAGAAGTGAAGGAATGGCACACACAGTTGTGCACCAGCCTTGAGGGGAAAAGCTAAGGGAGAGCACACGGTTCCTGAGTTCAAGCCCCATTACAAGCACAAAAGCAAAGCTAATTTCCACCAATACTCTTCACACACACAGCAGCTTTCTTTTGTCTCAGGACACCAACCCGTTTATTCATTTCCATGAGATTGGATCAGATGAGGCCAGATATCTATGTGCAAATGTTTCACAAATAAGAAAGAATTTGTTATTGAAATATTCTCCATTGCCCTGATCGGTGATTGGTCCATTTCTAATACTCCTGAACATTTGATTGGTCCTTCCATTGACAGCCATATCCACTTGTCCTATCCACCAGTGGGTGTGGGTCCCTGTTTAGGTTGGGAGGAGTCTACTTTTGGTAGCCCTGCTGGCAAGTTCCATAGTTCCAGATACCCACAGACAGTCAAATAGGTATTTTCGCTGCATCATGTGCCTTTAGGTACCACACTGGAAGTGGTTTTTGAAGTAATGCAGAGCCAGCTTGTACTGGATCTGAGCTTTGGTGTTGGTCCGGTATTTGCTGTAGTTCCTCTCCAGGGCAGCCAGCTCTGGGTCCGCTGATGAATGTCGGGACTGGTGATTCACGATCACCTGTGGGCAGGAGCCCACCAGCAGGCTCCCCAGTCCATCAATGAAGAACTCTGCAAAGAAAAGAGGGAGCAGGAGAAAAAAGACAGCTGTATCAGAGAGCCAGGGGCCTCCTCCAGTTCTAGGAAAATAATCACAGGAAGTTCCACTCCATGGAAAGCCACCCCTTTGGATCCAAGAACCTGTGGGTACTGATGGGGTAAGAGGAAACAAACAATCCCATTTCTCAGACCTGGGGGTACTGATGGGGTAAGAGGAAACAATCCCATTTCTCAGATAGGTGTGGGCAGAGAGGCAGAGACCAGGCAGAAGGAAGAAGAGGGGCAGAGGAAAGGCAATGGCTAGATGCAGTGTTCCAGGAAAGTCCTGAAAAAAGACAAATGAAGCAGGTGGGACAGAGGGATGGGACAGAGTTGTAGGAAAAGGACATATGAGGGGATTCTCAGACAGTAGCAAGCCAAGAGAAGTCTCAGAAGAGAAGAGAAATGATCTGGGAAGCAAAGACCAAGAGGGCCTTAATCTGAGGAGATGGGGTAGTGAGACCCACTGGGGTGGTCTTTTGCAAGGACAAGCTTCCAGGATCGACCCCCAACCCCAGCTTGTTTCCTCATCCCTACCTGAATGAGCCACTCGTTGCAGTCGGGGATCAAAGCCAACTCTTTGGAGTCGCTCTGTGTGGGCCAAGAAGAAGTTGGTAACACCACCAGTCACCACACAGCTGGGGAAGCCGTTGAGGCGCTGGAAGGACCCCGGCCTTCGGTGAATACAGTCCCCATTCTCACCCTGCTCAAGCAACAGCTTGAACTGGTACACGTTTCCCTGCACACTGCCACCCACCTAGCCAGGGAACAAAAATGAAGACACAATTATCCATCCTGCCTCTTCAGGGATTGTTCCTCCAAGAATAGTACCTCTCCTTGGATCTCTTCCTCTGGATCCAATGATCGTGCCCTGACTCACTTTTTGCTTTGTGACCACAACTCTTCTCAAACAGGTGTTGGGTCCTATGGGTCTGTGAATCTCTGCCACTATTGCCTGTGTTGGGAGGAGTCGTGTGTGTGTGTGTGTGTGTGTGTGTGTGTGTGTGTGTGTGTGTGTGTGTGTGTGTGTGTGTGTGTGCGTGCGCCCCCTACAGGCGGTCCTCCATCCTGCAGGAGCTCACTGCATGCTCACTTTCATGAAGAGAGTATTGAGTACAGGTAAGAGGTGGCCTATGCACCCAACCATTATTTATAATTTTCAAAAGAAAATGTTCACAGAACCAAAGTATTGCTGTCTTTAATCTCATATTTGGTCCAGAAGTCAGAAATGATACACAAAGACATAATCTAAAACGCAGAACAATTGTGGGGGGGGGCAGGATGTGTGGTATAGTTTACTCAAAGTAAGCATAGAGGCAAAAGCAGAATTCCTGCATCTTCTGACCTCTGGTCCCTGCTCTGCACCTTGGAGTCTGTTGGCTCCTCCATCAGCCCCTCCCCCTTTTTGCTCCCCCTCCCTCTGTTTTCTCCAATCCTTTCTTTTCTCTCTCCTCTGTCACCCTTCCCCATCACTGCAGACTAATAATTGTCCTTACCACATCCAGTTCTGTTTTCTCCAGGACATCCACCAGCACCTCAATCTTGGTCTTGTTGGTGAAGAGGAAGTCATCATCTACCCAGAGAACATATTTGGTTGTAACTTGAGAGATGGCCAGGTTTCTCCCTGCAAACCAACCCTGTAAAAGAGCATACGACTGATCAGAAGTTCCTGGCCCTAGATGCAAAGTAGAACCACCTAGGTGGTTTCTGAACTTCATCTGCTCCTCAGATAGACTAAGTCACTCCCAAATAAGTCAGAATCTATGTGGGGAAGCATAGCGAGGCCATTGTACAACCAAGGTTGAAGCCAACGGAATCAAAGAGAGCCCATGGCTCGAAGAAACATGGATCAAAGTTTGAGACAAAAATCTAAAAAGTCTTCCTTTTGGCTTAGTGTCCTCTGTGTCCCGCAGGAATCCTGGGATATCACACGCCTCCAGTCATTTACAAAGACTCTTCTTACCAACTTCCATGCCAAATATGAGGCAAGAGGATATGACCACTCCCTTTGTGAAGAAAAGTGAAGGTGGCCCTTGTCTCTTTGAATCTGGAAGTCGTAAAGGGCCTCAGAAAACAGGCCCCGCCCCCTCCCACTGGTGGATTCTCCTTCCTCAAGAAGACCACGGAAGCAGCCACATCCAAGGTAAAGTCTGACTCTGGGGCCCTCCTGCCCCAGGAGTCAGGTGTTCCTCAAGCTGAGAGGAGCATACCTTCCCAAAGGGCATGATGTAATACTCCACATACTCGTCTTTAATTTCCATGGGCTTTTCACTGTCATCAGCCACGATTACTGTCAAGTCTGGGTAATACTCTCGAATACTCTTGAGCAGGTCCAGAAGCTTGTGGGGACGGAGGAAAGTCTTGGTGGCGATAGTCACCAAGTTTCTGAGCTTCTTCTCTAGATAAAATAAAGGGGGAGAAGGGCAGCAGATGCCAGAGCTATGTCACAGAAACCTCTCTGTCTTGGTTTGTTTTATTCTGGTTGGTTTTGGTTGGCTGGTTGGTTATAGGTTTTGTTTTTCATTTTACTTTTTTTTGGGGGGGGGTCCCGTCCATGGGGCCTGAACTCTGGGCCTGCGCGCTGTCCCTCAGCTCTTCAGCTCAAGGCGAGCGCTCTACCACTTGAGCCACAGCGCCACTTCCGGCTTTTCTCTTTTTGCTTATGTGGTGCTGAGGAATTGAACCCAGGGCCTCAGGCATGCAAGGCAAGCGCTGTACCACTGAGCCACCTTCCCAGCCCTCATTTTACTTTTTTATATTATTCGCAGTATTGAAAATTGAACACAGGATTTTTGTTGGTGGTGGTGGTGGTCATGGGGCTTGAACTCTGGGCCTGGGTGCTGTCCCTCAGCTCTTCAGCTCAAGGCGAGTGCTCTACCATTTCAGCTACAGCGCCACTTCTGGTTTTCTGGTGGTTTATTGGAGATAGGAGTCTCATGGTCTTTCCTGCCCAGGCTGGCTTTGAATTGTGATCTCAGATCTCAGCCTCCTAAGTAGTTAGGATTACAGACGTGAGCCACCAGCGCCCAGCAGGATCTTATGCTTATAAGGTAAGCACTGTACTATTTGAGCCATACCTCCAGCCTTGTTTGGTTTTTGGAGTGCTGGGGATAAGTTCCATCCCAGCTACCAAGAGGTTTGTTTAATTTTTTAATTTGTGCCCATACTGGTGCTCAAACTCAGTACCTTGGCTTTTTCCACTCAAGGTTGGCACTCCACCTCTTGAGCCACAGCTCCACTTCCAGCTTTTTATGGATTAGAGATAAGAGTTTCACAGACTTTTCTGTGTGGACTGGCTTTGTGTGTGTGTGTACATTTTTTATTGTAAAAATGCTGTACAGAGGGGTTACAGTAACATGAGCAAGGCAATGAGTACATTTCCTATTGACTGTGGACTGGCTTTGAGCCCCAATCCTCAGATCTCAGCCTCCCGACTCGCTAGGATTACAATGCCAGTGTCCTCAAATCATCTCCAGCACACCCTTTTCAATGATGTTTTCAGCCTCATCCCAACCTGACTCCAGCAATGGATTGAACCCTCTGAAATCATGAGCCAAAAGAAATCTTTCTTCCTTAAGATTGTCCCTGTCAAGTATTGGTCGTAGAAATGAAAGAGTAATTAATGCATACACAGTAAGTTAAATCTAATTATTAACATGAGGGGAATAGAGCTTCTAAATCTTTTGGTCAGGAATCGGATCCGTCCCTTGTTTTGATCACTATTCCTTCATCTCAGGGGTGAGCCCTCTTTGAAGTTCACCAGTATCTCTACAGGATGCTGTTGTGGAGCCCCCCAGGACAGCGAGCAGCCTTACCTGGTCCAGGGTCGTATAACTTGGGGATGACAGGATAGCGGATGGTCACAGGAAACTTGGCTACTGAGGACTGGCACTCCAAGCTCACTGGAGGGAGGAGAGAGGTTAGAGTTCAGGTAACATTATATCTGAAATAGAGTCCACGCTGGCCCCAGGTAGCTGATGAGAAAGCCCTCTACCCCCTCCCAGCCTAAGGCTCCTGATGTGTGTCCTCAGGACAACCTGCTGTTTATCTCTTAAACCCTCATTTCCTCTCCTGTGAGATTATGTGGGGGGTAGGATTGGGATCATAATGAGAAAACCACCATATCTTGTCGCACAGGGTCATTTTCTTTTTATCTTTTTGTTATTGTTGCTGTTGTTGTTGGTCATGGGGCTTGAACTCTGGGCCTGGATGCTGTCCCTCAGCTCTTCAGCACAAGTCTAGTGCTCTACCACTTGAACCATAGCGCTACTTCCAGCTTTTTCTGCTTAAGTGGTGCTGAGGAATCAAACCCAGGGCCTCATGCATGCTAGGCACACACAGCTCAGCCCCTCACAGGGTCACTTTCTAAAGGGAGGTTTTCTAAATCTGAAACTGGGGGGCTGGGGAGGTGGCTCAGTGGCAGAGGGCTTGCCTCACATGCATGAGGCCCTCAGTTCCATTCCTCAGTACCACATAAACAGAAAAAGCCAGAAGGGGTGCTGTGGCTCAAGTGGTAGAGTGCTAGCCTTGAGCACAAGAAGGTCAAGGACAGTGCCCAGGCCCTGAGTTCAAGCCCAGCACTGGCAAAAAAAAAAAAAAGTCCACAGAAGCCGGGCACTGGTAGCTCATGTCTGTAATCCTAGCTACTCAGGAGTCTGAGATCTGAGATCACGGTTCAAAGCCAGTCCGGGCAGGAAAAGTCATGAAACTCTTATCTCCAATAGACCACCAGAAAACCCAAAGTGGTACCGGGGCTCAAGTGGTAGAGTGCTAGCCTTGAGCTGAAGAGCTGAGGGACAGTGCTCAGGTCCAGAGTTAAAGCCTTATGACCAACAACAACAACCAAAAAGAAGTTCACAGACTTTCCTACCCAAGCTGGTTTTGACCTTTAATCCTCAGATCTCAACCTCCTGAGTAGCTAGGATTATAGCCATGAATCACTGGTGTCCAGCAAGAAAGGGGTATTTTTTTTTTTTAGCTGACTTGAAAGAAGTTAGCAGAATTGGGCTGGGAAGGTGGCTCAGTGGTAGTGTTTGCCTCGCATGCATGAGGCCCTGGGTTTGATTCCTCAGCACCACATAAACAGAACAAGTCGGAAGTGGCACTGTGGCTCAAATGGTAGAGTGCTAGCCTCAAGCTGAAGAGCTGAGGGACAGCACCCAGACCCAGAGTTCAAGACCCATGACCAACAAAAAGAAGGAGAGAGGGGCTGGGAAGGTGGCTCAGTGGTAGAGTGCTTGCCTTGCATGCTCAAGGCCCTGGGTTCGATTCCTCAGCACCACATAAGCAAAAAGAAAAAAGCCGGAAGTGGCACTGTGGCTCAAGTG